AGGAGATGTCTGCTTTACATGCGAGTGGCACTTGGGAGCTTGTTCCTCTTCCTTCAGGTAAGTATATTGTTGATTGTCGTTGGGTTTATGCGGTCAAAGTCAGCCTGGATGGCCAGGTTGATCGGTTTAAGGCTCGTCTTGTTGCAAAAGGATACACTCAGATTTTTTGGCTTGATTATAATGACACTTTCTCTCCCGTGGCTAAAGTAGCATATGTTCGTCTCTTTTTGTCCATGGCTGTTGTACGCCATTGGCCTCTTTATCAGTTAGACATTAAGAATGCTTTTCTCCACGATGATCTTGAGGAAGAAGTTTATATGGAGCAAGCACCTGATTTTGTTGCTCAGGGGGAGTCTAGTAGTCTTGTATGCCGATTGCGCAGGTCACTATATGGTTTGAAACAGTCCCCTCGAGCTTAGTTTGGTAAGTTCAGCACAGTTATTCAGGAGTTCGGCATGACTCGTAGTGAAACTGATCACTCTGTGTTTTATCGGCAGTCTGCTCCTAATCTGTGTATTTATCTGGTAGTTTATGTTGATGATATTGTTATTACTGGCAATGATCAGGATGGTATTACTAATCTGAAGCAACATCTATTTCAGCACTTCCAGACTAAGGATCTGGGCAGATTGAAGTATTTTCTAGGTATTGAGGTCGCTCAGTCTAGCTCAGGTATTGTTATTTCACAGCGGAAGTATGCCTTAGACATTCTTGAGGAGACTGGAATGATGGGCTGCAGACCTGTTGACACTCCTATAGATCCGAATGCTAAGCTTCTGCCTGGACAGGGGAAGCCTCTTAGAGATCCTACGAGATATAGGAGGTTGGTTGGCAAATTGAATTACCTCACAGTGACTAGACCTGACATTTCTTTTCCGGTGAGTGTTGTAAGTCAGTTTATGGATTCTCCCTGTGATAGTCACTGGGATGCAGTTGTTCCCATTCTTCGGTATATAAAGTCAGCTCCAGGAAAAGGGTTACTATTCGAGGATAGAGGCCACGAGCAGATTGTTGGGTACACAGATGTTGATTGGGCAGGATCACCTTCTGATAGACGTTCTACGTCTGGATATTGTGTTCTAGTAGGAGGTAATTTGGTTTCTTGGAAAAGCAAGAAATAGAATGTAGTTGCTCGATCTAGCGCCAAAGCCGAATATCGGGCCATGGCTATAGCAACGTGTGAGCTAGTTTGGGTCAAACAGTTGCTCAAGGAGTTGAAGTTCGGAGAAATCAGCTAGATGGAACTGGTGAGTGATAATCAAGCTGCTCTTCATATTACGTCAAATCCGGTGTTCCATGAGAGGACTAAACACATTGAGATCGACTGTCACTTTGTCAGAGAAAAGATACTCTCAGGAGATATTGTTACAAAGTTTGTAAAGTCGAATGATCAGCTAGCAGATATTTTCACTAAGTCTCTTACTGGTTCTCGTATTAGTTACATCTGTAACAAGCTCGGTACATATGATTTATATGAACCGGCTTGAGGGGAGTGTTAAGTAGTTAGTCATGTATAGTGTCCCACATCGGAAAATAGATACCTTTTATTATGTAATCACTGTATATAAATAGGTTTGTACAACACTTTAATTAATTAATAAGATTTTTCTCCCGTGCATTCTCACAAGCGATAAGTACAGCACACACTTTTTAAAAATGAAGTGTACAATTTACATAAATAGTTTTAAAAAAAAAAAAATTCAGCATCCAATATAAAATATAAAATAATACCGATATTAATCTAACTCCTCAAAGTTGAGATTCTAAAAATCTATCAAGATGTTTCTCATTTTAGAGCGCACTTATCTAATGTTATCTCAAGAAGATGAAGGAACCACTAACAACACAACTTCCTATTACTAAACCTAACTGCTCAAAGGCTTCCTTACATTAGCACAAAACTCAAAATTGAACATGCCATGCCACTTACCTCGAGATGCTGCGCTGCTTCTGAAGTCAAACCAACAGTTACAGCAGCCAATCCTATCAACCCTCCCTAAACCAGTATTACACACCAAAGACGGAATTTTTTATTTAAAAAAAAAAAAAAAAGTCAAATTATACTCTTGACCTAAAATGTAAAAAAGAAAAACTCACTTTGCGGTGATTAGCTTGAGGGGAATACGTATACTCCTGAGTCAACAAATGGATGACTGAAGTGACCTTGTCGTGATCACCCGCCACAGCCAATTGCTTCACTATCCCTTCCAACTGCACAAACAGAAGGGGAATTCAAACTCAAGATCCAATCAAAAGCCCTCTGAAAATAACACCACAAAGTACCTCAAGGGCGGCATTTTTGCGCTTCTCGTACAACTTATCAGAGAGATTACGCAAAACAGAAGCAGGAATCACAGATAACGCTTCTATAGTAGCCATATCAAATGAATCAAAAACCCTAAAAAGATCCTTCAGAGGAATAATAAAACCAGGAATTTCCCAATTCTTTTTTATCCAACACAAACATCTAAAGGCAGTTTATTTACTATATACGGGCAGTAAGTCTACAAAGGAAAAGCCGGAAGAAATAGATCTAAAAAGGAAACAAAATCAGAGAAAATTCGAAGCATTGAATTGAGGATTTTTTTTACTTCTGGGGTTTTTGGTTTCGTTTAGGGGGTTCAGCTCAGAGGTGCAGTAAAAAAGGGGAGAGGGAGAGGAGTCTTTGCTGCTTCTAACGGTTGGGATAGTATCGGCCCCCAAGCCTCTGCAATGTGTTGCCCATTACTATTTTGAACACTTACAAAATGTTTTCCTTCCCTTTTTCTCTTTTTTTTTTTTTTAAGATTTTGTCTTCTACTCCTCATGGTTTGGCACAAAAATCATATACCTATTTATATTTTTATTTATCTATCTATATATATTTATATTTTATATTAGTCTCTATATTCATGCAATGCACTAGATATCTTGTCCAAATATTAAGTTTGTACTGTATAGGGTAAAATTGGATTGTAATAAATGATCGAATGATAGCATGACACGTGGAACCGATGACAAATAAAAGGCGAATCAAGTAATAATCAGTACCGGAAATAACAGGTACAATTGACATCGGGTAGACCCCGAAGGGAGTATGGTCAATGGGAGTAGATCGAATATTTGTCATTGGATAGCATTCAATGAAGAATATTCTCTAACATTAAATGGGCAGTCGTTGCAGAAAATATTTGCATTCATGGCTTGCTGTTACATATTCATCAATGACTCCTTTATTATCATTTAAGTAGGGCTTGATCCTAGGATCTTGTTTCTCTAGGTATAACTATAAATAGTAGGCTCAACAGCAATTGTAAGGCACGAAATTCTTGACAAAACATATGTTGTATTTCATTTTCGCTCTCAATTAAATAACTTTATTTGCTCTTTTACATTGCTCTCATTTCTGTCCTCGGAGATACTACTCTCGAAGCCAAGCTTGTCATTTTCTTCAATTTTAATTGCTAAGTCTTACTTTTAATCTTATTTCATTATTTTTTTTTGGATCAAATCAGTTCGTTTGTCTATAAACCACGTAACAAATTCTACTATACCGTTTTACGAGTAAATAGTTTGGCGCCCACCGTGGGGCTTAGACAGTTGCGTAATTGCTTTGATCCTTACGTTTGTTATTAACTTGCTTGATTTTTCCTTAGCAAGAAATTAGAAATGGCAGCTAATGATGTCAACATCACACACAACATTGAGGGACACAAAAATTTGCCTCAACATGAAGATTCAATCAGCGACACCCGCAACGAAGGGGACGAAGCAACCCCGGTTCGTGAAGGGAAGTACCCTCGACATGTGCGGGAGCCAACTCCCGACGACGCGAAGGAGGAACATGTCGTGGAAATAGTGAAAATCTTGAGGGAACAGCAAAAAGCCATCATGAGCCACCTCTTAAGGCAGGATAGGGTAATGACGGAGTTGAAACAAGCATTGTCAGGCGCTTCCAAAAATACAATGGGAAGGGCCCGGTTCCTCCCCACGTTCCTGCGAATCAAACGGCTCAAAGAGTTGATAATAACACCCGAAGGGGTGAGGTCGGTTTCGACGGTGCTGGAGGGACCGGTAGCGGTTCTAGAAATGACAATGGGAATGATCCCTTCAAAACTGAGCTTATGAGGTTCATGAGGGAAATAAATGAACAAATGGATCAAAATGCGACGGAGTTTCACGCCCGAATGGATCAGATTTCGGACGCACAACCAGTTTTGAAAGGCCAGATTCGAAAAAATACACTCAATTGCCGTTTAAATCGAGCGCAACACCGGAGTTAATTCCGAAGAGGTTCAAAATGTCGGACATACCAAAATATAATGGGACTTCGGATCTGCATGAGCACATCACAACTTATACCACGGCTGTGAAAGGAAACGATTTGGCTCAACATGAGATCGAATCGGTCCTACTGAAGAAGTCGTGCGAAACCCTATCAAAGGGGGCTCTGACATAGTATTCACTCTTACCCTAGCATTTAATTGACTATTTTGAAATGCTTGCAGATTCATTCATTAAGGCCCATGCCGGGGCCAGGAAGGCGGACATATTTAGGATCACGTAAGGTGAGTCCGAATTACTGCAGGAATCCGTGATTAGATTCCAGAAATAGAGGATGTTGCTACCGGTTGTACCAGACGAATGGGCAGCGGAGGCGCTCACAAAGGGTTTGAATCCAAGAAGCTCTAACGCCTCCTGAAAGCTGAAGGAAAGCCTGCTCAAGTTCCAAGCGACCAAATGGGCTGATGTCCATAACCATTATGAGTCAAAAATAAGGATAGAAGACGATCATCTCGGGTTCCCAACATCAGCCAAGGGACGAGACCGAGACAGGGACCAGGATAAGTTCAAATGTGATTTTGATGCGAATCGGTGATCTTCTAAAGGTCGTTTCCTACTATACGAGAGAACCGAGGGACACGACATCAAAGGGTTCCGGTCCTCGGATAGGTTCGCTCCCGATAGAAGAAACAACTGTGGCTGGAACAACAGGTCGTTGCAAGAAAGAGAGGTATCGGGGGCCCGGGATTCCACATATTCCAGGTTATTGGATTACAACTTCAACATTAGCATAGTGGAATTGGTACCGGCAATGAGGAATATCAAAGAGGCGCGATTCTCAAAGCTAATCAGATCTGATTCTAGCCAGAGGGATCCTAAATTATGGTGCGAATATCATGGGGCTCACAGTTATAGAACTGGGACTGCTGGCATCTGCTTGAAGTGGTGGCGAAGTTGTTGAAGAATGGCCATATCAAGGAGTTATTAAGTGACCGAGCCAAGAATAATTATGGCCGTAGCCGGGACAATGCGGAGCCTTTGAAGACAGCAGAAGACTGCCCTCGGTTGACTGTCAACATGATTTTTGGAGGGAATGAAATTAATGGCTTAACCTTCTCGGGGGCCAAGAAAACAAAGATATCAGTGACCCATAACAAGAGACTCCGGGAAGCGCAGAAGATGACATCACCTTAACGGAGGAAGACGCCGACGAACTTCTTCTGCCACATAATGATGCTTTGGTAATTTCTCTCAATGTCTTAGATTTCATAATTAAGCGTGTTTTGGTTGACCCAGGAAGCTCAACCAACATCATTCAATAGAGAGTGCTGGAACAAGCAAAGTTGACCGGAAGCATCATTCCGACGACAAAGCTCCTAGCTGGGTTCAACTTGACAAGTGTGACAACACGAGGAGAGATCATGTTGCCCACAAACGCCGAAGGGGTAACCAAGACCACCTTATTCGAAGTGGTAGACGGTGACATTAGCTACAATGTAATCCTCGGAAGGCCGTGGATACATGAGATAAAGGTTATGACCTCAACATATCACCAGTTGTTGAAGTTTCCAACCCCAGAAGGAATTAAGCAGATAAGAGGAGATCAACCGGTAGCAAGAGAGATGAACGCAGTGTCGATTTCTAACAGCAAAAGGGAAGGAGCCCAGTGGATAGCAACTACATGAACCAATGCCTTCTCCCTTGCCAAATGAAGATGATAAAGGTGAGGAGTCATCGGAATCCCACTAGGTGCCGAGATACTTTTCGGTACTGGAGGAGGCAAATGCAACCAAGTCCACTGCAGAGGAACTCGAACAAGTGGCCTTATTCGAAGAATTCTTGGAAAGGAAGTTTCATTTGGGAACAAGGTTAAACCCCGAGCTCAGGTCAGGATTTATTAATTTCCTTAAAGCTAACATCAATTTTTTTGCATGGCCCCACTCGGATATGACAGGTGTTACGCCTCGCATTTTTACGTCGATGTTACGTTCCGCAGTAATTTATTACGACGATGTTACGCTCCGTAGTAATTTATTACGGAGATGTTACGCTCCGCAGTAATTTATTACGACGATGTTACGCTCCGTAGTAATTTATTACGGAGATGTTACGCTCCGCAGTAATTTATTACGACGATATTACGTTCCGCAGTAATTTGTTATGACGATGTTACACCCTGTAGTATTGTACGTTGAATTTGTCGTAAGATAATTGACATCAGTTCAAGGACAAGATTATTTGGAGATTATAAGTATTATGCAATTTCAAACAATTGATGAGTAAATTCGTGAAGCTGAAAGGGTAAACGAATCAAATAAAATGAATTTCATCGAATTTTGACATTTTGGGATAAAATATGGCCTGAGCTAAAATACCCGGTATTTATGGACTAGTACCATACAAGGTACCACATGGCCATGATAGTAAGGTGTATAAGGTATATTAAAAGTGAGTAGTATTATAAGTAATTTGAGATAATTCTTAATTATGTGGGTAATTGATTAATTATTAAATAGTGAGAGATTATCAATTAATCATGAGATTAGTGGTTAATTAATAGTATTTTGGATAAAGCTTTAACTACAAAAATGTGGCAGCCAAGGCTTTATCAAAGTATGACTCTTAAAACCAAAGAATAAGATGGCATTAAGAGAGTCTTTTGGTGGCTTAGTCATTAAAGTCAAGTGGGGCCTACCAAGCAAGTCATTGAAATAATTCTGCTGAAACTCAAAGAATTCATTTTGAAACTTCAGAGAATTCATTTTGAACTCCAAGGCTTTCAACGTGAGGCATCTCAACTTTAAGCATATGTCAAATGCCAAAATATTAATCTTAAAGAATTCAATATGAGATTTCATATGCATCTGCATATATCAAAGCAACGCCAGGCTTTAACAATTCAAAATGAAAGTGAGATTTTGCAATTATAACGGAGTACGGTGCAATCTTTCTCAAGAATATCATACGAATTTTCCCCTACTTCGATCCACCGTTACGTGTTTTCGCAAAAGAGAATCGATTCAGGTATGTTAAGGTTATCTCTTCTTTCTTTTTGGCATGATCAATACGATACAAACGAAACGAGCAAATGCACAATCTTCATAAATGACTCTATTCATAGAAATATTAGGGGTGTCTATATTCTTGATTCCCTATGTGAATTATTATTATATCTTCTCTTCATGGGTCTTAGAAAAATACGTATTTGATAAAATTTATCCGACAGGCAAATTATTTTTATGACATTCCGAGAAAATCTTATTAACGTATTTCTTATGCATTTTATGCATTTATACATGTACATTGACCCATGACCAGATGGCATTATATACGCGTATATTATATGTATATGGGATATGGGAAAAGGTTATAGCGTTATATACGCACCACCACCTGATCAGCTGGTATACGTTGATGATTTGCCCACAGTGGCCGAAATGATATGATGGGATGCCCT